TAAAACATTTCCCACAATGCCTCTGTGTGTTAATAACTCTAGGCACACTAGCTTGCAGTACCTTTTGTTTTGTAGATCAAGCACAGATTTGAGATTATAAATTGTTTGCCTAAGTTTTCAATCCATATTTGAACAAAACTGTATTTACCTTCATCTCTATAACTATTACTGTAGGCTTTTAAATAGAAAATTCTCATGATAGAACCAAAGTTTTCTATTTTACCTTGTGAAAGAGTGGGGGGGGGGGGTGGAGTTCCAATAAATACAGATAATGTTCCAAATTTCTAAGGCAGGGAAGACCACGAGGCAGGAGGGGTGTTCTGGATTAGTGCTAGCTCTGGTCAGAGTCGGCCACAGAAAGCCAGTGCCCACTCAACCTCCTCCCTTCCCTTCATTCCTCATGCTTGCAAAGCAAAATTGCTGAAGTCATTCTCAAGATGCACTGAAGGTCAAACTTTGCATCATTAAAACTTTTGAAGCACAATAGGTATGTTTGCCTTTTCACACTTCTCTACGGGTCCTCGTACAGTCCATCAACTCATGTCTCCTGGAATGGGTATAAAGATCAACACAAAGGAGTTTAAAAGGACACACTAGATCAGACTTGGAAGATGGCGAATTTGTACTTTCCCACTTCCCCCACTGTTGACACCCACAAACAGTAAGGAAGAACAGAGTTGACAGAAGGACACATGGGACATCTAAAAAAGGGGCGGGGAGCTGGGACAAGGAGTTGGGGAGACCAGAGGAGCCTCAAAGACAATTTTTGAATGAAATATCATAATGATATCTTATGCCTTATATGCTACTTTAAAACCTCAATCAAAACATGCTCTGTCCAAGCAAGGTGCTCTTGTAATCATAGCACTGAGAGACGGAGACAGGAGGATGGACACCGTAGACAGCTAACCTGGCCCCGGCAAGTTCCATGCTAGTAAGTAGCCCTGCCTCATAAAACAAAGTGGATATCACCTGCTGAATGACATCTGAGATTGTCCTATGCTGACTTACACACATGAATGTGTGTTTATGTACAGAGAGGAGAGAATATGAGAGAGAGAGAGAGAGAGAGAGAGAGAGAGAGAGAGAGAGAGAGAGAGAGAGAGAGAGAGAGAGAGAGAACCCCTGGAAAGAATGTATGTATGTCAAGGTCAAACATCAGACAGTAAGTGAGCCAAATTTGATTTCTTCTTATGACAGGAATAAGAACAGAGTCTGTGACTCAGAGCTAGCTGTACACTGTGACTAATTTTCCACCATAAATTAGAAGCTTGCAACAGCTCTGAAACCGCTTCCATCCGAACAATGAGTTCCTAGCTCTTACTAGTGTCTCATCAACAAGCAATCCATGTGAATCCTGATAAAAAATTAGATACCTAACGAGGATTGTAATCATAAATATAATTATATACTAGACTCAACACCTAATTTTAAAGATGAAAAATACTTTTGAAGCACAAATTAATATTTCATCTGAATGATTCTTCTTAATTATGAGAAATTTTACATTTGACTGGTAGAAAACAGTTCTACTTTTGCCTGATGGGTATGTGGAAATAATATACAGAAATAGAGAAAAAGCCTTGATAAAAATAACTACCAGAATAATGCAAACCATTTCTTTCTTTTACCAACTTACAAATGCCTAGATGACAAGTTCCTTCTGTCTTGGGACTTTCTGCCAGAAATTTTGTGTAAACAAAAACAAAACCACATGGTTTCTCTAAGTAAACAGCAAAGAGTAGAATTAAGTGGATTATTATCCACATCATCTCATTTAAATGAAAAATATTGGTGTGCTGATATATAAAATTCTGACTCCAGAAATCTGGAATGAGGCTTGGTGGTTGTTCATTCTGAGACAGAGGTCAGAAGAGCAAACTGTGTGGGTGCACAAGAAGTCGTCCAAGATGCCAATGACTAACCCATTCTTTATTTACTATACCTCCATTACCCATCTAGGTGGACTTCTAAACATGAATTAAGATCCATTCAAACTCTTGAACAAAGAGTTGTGACAAAGATTTTGACTCTGAAGTCAGGTGCCTGTATATCTAATGTACACTGAACTTTGGTTGTATCTTGGCTCTGTTAACTGAAATCTGCTCTGTTCTCTTAAACTGGCTTTAATCCAGAATGTGAGTATAGTTAAAATAATAGCAAGCACTCTCTCTACTTTTTGAAAGTCTGAACTTCTCATTTATTTCAAAATTATCATCCTTTCTTTTTTTGCCAGTTCTCCTGTCTAGACTGCTTATGGACTTTTTTTAAAACCTGGTGCTCCCTCATAAAGACCACCTGTGTAGAGTTGAAAATATTTCCTTCTAGCAATGATGTGCTTTCCACCCACTAAGAAAGTATTTGTCACCCCTTGTTGGACCTATATGAAGACGTTCTTCTGTCCACAGACATACCTGTATTCTCTAGTCCAGTACTTCAACAAATTTATGAATGCCCATGGAAGGCTTCAGTGTATTGAGTCAGATACTTCATCACTTGAGGCTTTGATGCAACAAGATTGGACTATAGGAATCTGGACCACCAAAGCTTGGGATGTTATTGAAATCTTTATTACAGATCCTATATTTGAGCTGAACTTTACTAGTCTGTAGTAGGTGCTTAGCTACTGTTTCCTAGAATGAATGGATGAAGTTTATTGTGCTGAATAAATAAAGCTGGGCTAGAGACATCCACTATATGAGGAGGGATGGTGAAGGCGTAAAAGTACAGAGTACTAGAGGAGAGAAAAATTATAATTGGTGATAAGTTCTGAGATAGAGTTTCTGGAGTGTGAGAATAGATGAAGCAGTTGAAAAAGTGGGCTACCCCCATACTGTGACTTTAAATAACACCTCTACATTTCAAATAGCCAAGTCTGTTCTTTAAGTAACAGATCTAAACTGTCACAACATAGGCGATCTAAATTGTATGCTAGAACCAGTTCAACTGAAGCCCTTAAATGGAAAGACAAAACTGAAGAGCAGGCGGGATAACTGTGGATGATAAGACCTCGGCAGAGGCATCATAGGAAGCAGTAAAAACACAGCACAAAGAACTCTTTAGTCTGCCATGTTCTTTTTCTTTTCTTTTGAACCTGACTGCTACCATTGTATGCTAGACTCTTAGTTTTCGATGATCCACAGTCATATCACTCCTATATGTAAATATGTTCCTCCATAGGAAAACTGGTAAAGTATCAACCCAAGACATATCCAAGATGAACAAGCAGCTGCAACCATCATGAAAGGGGAATTTACAGCTGAACCATTTCTATTTTTTTCCAACAGTATTCAGCAGCTTGAATTTGGGTAAAGAGTGGGATCTTTTCAGAGTTAAAGATCTTCTTCAGAGAAAGATCATGACATTGTTTGAAACCTAAGAAGCAGAAGATGCCATTGCAATATGCCATTCTAACCTGCAAAGAGAGGATATTGTGAGCTCAGAGGAGCTTTGCATTAGAAAGGAGAGTGGGAATTAAATGAATGCTGACACTGGAGAGGAAGGCAGGCCTTTCTAAGATCTGAGTTTGTATCCTCAAAGATAGAAATGTGAAGTCAAATTAGGTGATGCGGCTTTCAGCAGGGGGCGGGGCTTGTAAGACAGTCCCATGATGAGGAAGTGCAAGTGAAGTGGTAAAAGGTTATGGCCCTACCATGGCTCTCATCAGAGCTGACAGCCAGAGAAGCCGTGTTATGAAGAATGAGTCCAGTTTTTCTCTATGTAACTGGTAGAATATGGGAGAAGGTAGAAGGAAGGTAACGGCACAAAGAAGCAGTGCTGAGAAGCTGTGACAGTTTCTTCTTACAGACTAGAGCTGAGTAACATTTTCCTTTTGCTCAGATGGTCTGAAAGGAAGATCTGAGTGTTTAGAAAAGGAAAAATGGATGCACAGGACTCTGATACGTAAGTCTTAAGAGTCCACAGAAGCACCAAGAATACCAAGAAAAAAATTATTAAGAAGATATATTCTGGAAAGTTTGCATGTTAATTTCTTTATTTAAGTAATGATAAAACACACTCAATACATTAGAAGGTTTTATAATTATATAACTGTCTTTGTTTCTTCCTTTCGATGTCTCATAGTGAAGAAGGTTAAATATGCACTTAGTTGGTACTCAGAGATCACATATGCACATGCTTCCTTTTCTAACAAAACTTCCTTTTCATATAAATGTGCTATAGTGGTAGTGGAGGTGGCTGAGTGTATAAATCACCTGTCATTCAAGTGTTAGAAGCAAAGTTTCAGTCCCCAGAATCTATGTAAATGCTGGTTGGACATGGCAGCCTACTTGTTATTTAAGAGCTTGGAAGGAGGAGGAGATGTGGGATCCCGAGAGCATGCTGGTTAGCTACAGTTGCCCTATCAATGAGCTCTGCATTCAGCTGAGAGATCCTGACTCAATATAGAAGGTGGACATGGATCAAAAAGACTCACATGTTAGCTTCCGGTGTCCATAACCACACACAAGTGGGCATGTATGTGTATGAACTCATACACACATCCTCAGACACATACGAACACACATACACAGAGATAGGCATACCTACTACACAGACACTAATCAAAACCAGTGTCACGTAAATACTACTGACAAATGTATGATATTATTTATGAATAGCTAATAGTTTCATATTAGTTACCTGCTTCATACTAGTTACCATTAGACCTATCAGGCTAGTCCTATACTGATGAACTGCTCAGGTTAGTTACCAATTTTATACTACTTATCTATTTCAGCTTTGATACCTGTTTCAAGTTATTTGCCCATTTAATATAAGTTACTTGTTTATAACTAGTAAGCTGTTTCATACTACTAATAGTTACCTGTTTCATGTTGTTTACTATTCCATTCTAGTAACCTGCTTTCATGTAAGTCATCTATTCAAGGTCAGTTACACACTTCGTACTATTTCATGATATTAATGACCTATTTTGGCTTAGTTAACTATTTTACGCCAGTTACCTGTTTCAGGTCAGCTACGTACTCCATACTAGTTACCTGTCTCAGGGAATGTGCTGACATTACACATGCCTTCCTTGCCTTCACCAGCTGAGGTTGATGCTCTTACTTCAAAGATGTACGATGTATTGGCAAGAAGTTTGGTGAAAGTATACATGTGGTCTTGGGGAGAAACTTTTGTAGAATTTCCTTCAAATGTTATCATATAGTGGATAATTATCCCATTTGCTTTCCTGGGTGGATTCCACATCACTAATACTGACTGCCAGTTACGTGCCATACACTCTATATTCTGTACAACATCTGGAACTTAAGAGAAAAACATTTGCTCAAAGTTAAAATTTATATACACATAGTAAATTGTCAAACTATGAAACCAAGAGCTAAGATGAGATTTCACAAAGAAAAAAGTAAAAATTTAGTATGTCAACTTTTCTAATATGTGTGCAACAAGTTCTTAACATAAATGGCCAATGGACCATTTTCTCTCCCATCTTGCTAATGCTTACAATATTGAGTCTTTAATGGAATATTTTCCTAGGCCCAACAAGCAAACACATTCTCATAGTTTTGGAAATGCGTTGGCCTCAAGTCCAGGCAGTCACGGATGTCAGCTTTCATAATCAGGATGATGCAACCTTCTCAATACTTATTACTGAACATTTGCAGAACAAAACTGTCTACTGTCACTGTTTCAGGCCCAACAGTGATGGGAAGTCCATAAGCAAAATTTTATTGGGGTTCTTTGGAAGAACAGGGACTATTTTGGAAATGACTAGAGGTATTACTTGAAGAGTCTCTGGTTTTTATTTTAGAACTTCTATCAATTTATTTAACAATAACTTCTTTTCTCTGATGTCCATTCTATGTAGTTGACATGAATGAAGAGTATTACCCCATTCATGAGAATGATTATAGTTTAGAGACACTGACTACTTTCACTGGAAATAGCCAATAATGCCCTTTAGTTTTAGTATTAATAGCATAACTTCTTTGTTATGGTAAGATGAGGACAATGGAAGAAAATCAGTATATGGTTGATTCACAGATTACAAACTGTTCACAGCAGGAAAAAAAAGGAATGTTGCTGTTACATAAATGTGATTTAAAGAAAATTCAAGAAATCTATGACTTCTCAACAATTGTTCTTTGGTCCTAAATGCGTCTCTTATAAACCTTTCTTCTGTACGATGAATACATCAATGCATAAAGGCAATACTAACATGTGTCTGACATACACAAATCACAAGTTTGGGGAACATCTGCTTAACTGATTCTGAACTCCCAACAAATGATTAGCAATTAATATATAAAAATGAGTCAGGTGGTGGTGATGCACACCTTTAATCCCAGGACTTGGGAGGCAAAGGCAGGTGGATCTCTGAGTTTAAGGACAGCCTGGTCTACATATACATATATGTAAATTTTATGTCACTTTTGCAATCAGAGCATTATGTTTTGTGACATAACTTCGTAACTGAAAAATATAAGCTTATACAGTTTATGTAAGATAATCCTCAACTTTTATTCATTCTGTGTGAACACTACTAAATATTTTATAGGTTGAAAATCTTTAGATATTTTCCCTCAAGTTGATGCATACTTCTCCCAGTTATCTCCATCATTTCCTCCAAAAAAAAAGAGACAAGGATGGTGTTCCAGTTGGATTGCCAATAAGTTTTAAAAGTGTGTTTCACCTATTCTGTCTGGATTGTGGCTTCTTCATTCAGAGCAGGGAATGCTTATAATAATATTTATACATAATTTATTGCATGATAAACTTGCTAATAAGTAAGATCTAACAGATCTTTTTAAATGTTTTAGACCACTCCTGCACTGTATCTGACTAAAGTGTGCTTCCTTTCCGTTGAAGCTATAGAGCTCGGAGGAACCCTGAGCCTTTGTCAAAGTTACACACCCAACAAGCCATGCAGCTCAGATTCTAATTCAGACACTGATTGCCCAGCTCAAGCTTTATCCACTCTAAATACTAGGGATCTGATTTATCTGTAGGTAGGCTGTGAGAGAAGATCTCAAGTGTCTCTAAGTTCATGGGGAAATTACTGGTTTAGCATCTTTAACCTTTCATGTGGAGGTTCATTAATGCAAGTCCATCTAGAGCTACTATGAACTGACTAGAAAATGGATTTTCAGTCATTCAGTAATAATTGTTAAAAATAAAAGAGGAAAAGGAGTGTCGTCAAATATATGATCCAGTTAGTAGAAGGAAAGGGACATGTCTAACCCACCATTAACTAATTCACAAATGAAAACTATCCAAGGCCTACACAAAGTCTAGATGGGGCTCATACCATTGTGCTGCAGTGGTTCGGTTGCTGGGAGACTAGGCCAGTCGCCTTTTATAGTACTTCATGTTATGAGGGGACTGTTTGAAGTACAAGAGGCAACATAGACTCCTGAATCTCAAATCTTTTCTGGAAGAAAAGTCCTAGTCACAGTTCATGAAAATCTAAATGGTTGTGTTAGAAGTGACTGCTGGTTCACTTCCTTGCTCTTCCCAGCCCCACAGGTAATCCTAAGAATTAGGATATTTTCCCTGATGTGTACAAGCCTACCTTGTCACCTCCTTAATAAATAAGTAAATAAATAAATAAATAAACAAACTAGTCTTTGTCTTACTCAGGTCTAGGGGAAAAGTTGTATGTAAATATGCGTGTATCGATACATATATATGATTCCAGAAATGACCAGCCTAACCTTTAAGCACCGGAATTCAATTCCCTTTGAGAGGAATACTAAACAACATTTTATTAAAAAGAGAGGGATGCTGAAAGTCTTGATTAAATATGAGAGCAAACATCGTAGAAGCAGAAACTGTGACTAACCAGACTCTTGAGTCGTGAATTTCACTACATTACTGAACTGATTGCCATTTCCGACTTTGGTAAATGCAGACACACTGATTGAGTAGGTGCTGACAGGCTCCAGTCCAACAAGCTTGGCATCAGTCTGAAAACCTGAAATATTCTGAAAAGCAAAAGATCCTTAAGTCACAAGGCATCTTCAAATATTTATTTGTAATTACCTGATATATTTGAATATAATGAGATTTCCTCTTAGTTATTAATATTCATATCCCCTTAGTTATTATTATTCATCATTTCCTAAGAGTAACAATTATTAATATGTTGTGCTGCAGGGCATGTTGAGTGTATGATGCAAGGATGAGCTGCGTCTTGGAGAATCTCATCATTTTTGGTTTTGAACGGTTTTTAGAATCATGTGTTTATTCATTTCCTTCAATTTGCTAAGTGAAAGTTTCAAATTTAAGTACAGTTTCTGACCAAGCATTAGTAGTCATTTCTTCCAAATTCACATCCACCTGTTTCCTAATATACAATGTATCTGTATATGATTACGTATCTGTCAGCTACTACTATTCAGTGAAAAGAAAGTCAGAGATGAAACAAAATCTCTGTCTCCATGGAACTTATGTTGGAAATTCAAAACAACTCCTAAATTTCTATTTTGACAATATTTTTAGGAAAATGTGGGGGAAAAAAACTTAAAAAGGTATGACAGTTGACCAGAGAAGAATACGCTTTCTTGTAGAAAAACTTCCTGCCAATAGTAAAGAGCTTTATTAGAAAACGCATCCTAATCAAAGTGAAAAGTCAAGTCATTTAACAGCCTAACAAATACTAAACTGTATCTCTTAAAGTATAAACTATAGTGACTGTTTATTGCACGTTTCCCTAGGGAATTTTACCAAGAACATCCTTCTAGTTGCTTATGTGTGTGGGGGTGGGGGTGCCAGGGCATTTGTGTGGAGGTCAAGCTCTCTCCTTTCACTGGGTTGTTCCAGGGGTTGGATTCAAGTGGTCAGGCTTGGTGACAAGAATCTTCACTAGCTGAGCTACTGCGCCATCCAAAGAGCCTTAAGTCTTAAGGCACCTGCACTGATAATAACGCTAGATCACATTTTAAAATCATCTCCATGAAAGCAGGTGTATTTAGAAATAGATATGTATATACGTGTACATATATTCTTGCAATACTAATTAATGAGAAAGGAATTCATGAATTTGGAAGTGAGCAGAAGGATACATGGGAAGGTTTGCAAGAAGGAAGAAATGCTGTAATTATAATCTCAAATTTGTTTTTAAAAAAGAAAATCTGAAGCTCACTAATGCTATGGCGACTTTTTCCACTACTTCTTTCTTATGTCACACTATTTACAAACTATGCTGAGAGATGATCCGTTGAATATAGGAATTACTAAACATAACATGGTCCCCATCAGCAAGAAAACTTTATATTAGCTATTAAAGTCCACAAAATGTACTACTAATAAGAAATGAAGCATGATAAAAATTCATTTTGATTTTTCAGAAGAATGATGACCAGGGAAGTGACTGAACTTGAGAGTGTAATCATTCACTGGAATAAATTACTTTATTGGCTGCTGAATACATTTACACAAAAGTGAGTCTTTAAAAAGCTTTTCACTAAATAAAGGACTTCTTGCAGCCCATCAGAGTGACCCAAATTTCTAAGTGATGTCAATGTCAGTGTGGGCTGATGAAGAGGTATCTGGAGTGGCTCTAATGTTCGTCTGCCCCCACAAAGAATCAGGTAATAGAGAACAGAAAAAGAATAAAGCAGCAGACAAAGAATTAAAAAGGACATAAAGTGATTCTGGCAGGGAAAGCTGAAAAACAGGGTAGCAGTGAAAACCAGACAGAGTGAAAAGAGTCGGCATGGTAAACGAAATATTTAGAGGTGGGAATGACATGAGAAGAGATTTAAAGAAATCTGAAGAAAAATATAATCATTAAAGAGGATTAAAAATAATGGCAAACAGAAGTAATCAAATGTAGTCGATTTTTAAAAAAGAAGACTGCTTGCTCTAAAATTATATACTTAATATTTTGTGGCATAAAATTGTATGTTTGCTACTAGTGAAATATTAATGGAAAACACATAATAGAGAAAAAGAATGTTTAAAGATATTGAAATCATATTCAGGTAACAATATAATGTTCTTTCATGCTCAAAGCTACCAGGACACTACAGGGAATTTTTGTTCTTTTTCTAATCTGTATGCAATGAACAATAATATATTTATTAAATGACTAGTATTGTCCAAGGTATTTTCTATGGTTTTACCCTTGCAATCTTCAGTAACATATGAAGCTTTTTAATTCATATTTTGCATTTGAAGAAAATAATCTTAAGAGGATAAGTAATTTCTATAAGGCATCACTGTGAATCTCAATAGAAATATTTGAACCAGGTAATTTGATGTCAGAGCCTCTGCTTTACTGTTCTGCTAAGAGTGTTTATATTAAAGAACATCATTCAATGGAAATTAGGTCATATATATACATGCACATTCCAATGCACATACAAGGTAATCTCAAGGATGGGATTACTCCAAGAAAACTATTTCTCTCTTGTGAATATTTTCTGTAGCCCATACAAACAATCCAAAATTATGAGGAAACACTGAGATTAAACTTGGGATAGATAATAAAGGGCTAGACATCTGTGTCACTAATACAAGTTTTATGGTTCTGGGAACCATTCCACATTTAGGAAGTTACAAAATGACAATAATAAGCAAACAAACCATAATTGTTGCTCTGGATTTTCTGTCGTCTTTGTAAGCTACACATTGTAAAAAACGGATTTAACATAGAAATAAATTATAATATATATAATATTGAATGTTAACTCTGTATTTTGCACTCTTCTAGCAAATAAAAATATCCCAGGACTTCATTTACCATTGAGAGAGAGAGAGAGAGAGAGAGAGAGAGAGAGAGAGAGAGAGAGAGAGAGAGAGAAATTTCTTAAGTAGATATTAGTTCATTGTAACATATTTTGGCAATCAAACACTAGAACTTATGCACCTAAGGTTCAAATGTATTGTTTTATTGGTGCTTTGCATATTTCTCACTGATTCTATGTCCTAAAAAATGGAAGAAGGAAGAGCTACTGAGGATTGAAATGAATTACCACTGAAAGTCACAGAATAAGAATTTATCTTAAAAGATCAGGATGGGTAGCATCACATGCCATTAGAAAAGATTACCACAAGGCCAGTATAAACATTTTTGTGAAAAGGTTAAAATGATTCATTTGATACTTATTTTATCAATAAAATTAGTATAGCATATATTAGATTTTAAATAAAACATACAAATTACTGTATATTTCCTAGCATTAATTAAATGGTACAGTTAGTTCTTAAAATGTAGAGACCGTGAGAATAAGTAAATTGTTCTAAGAAGTATTCAGCTTTCATATCTGAAAAATGGTTTCCTATATTTTCCACAAACATCCCATGTTTCAGGGAAAAAAGGGGGCTTTTAAACCAATGTTACCATTGTTCAATTAATCATTGTAGCGCTTTTGGTCTAATCCAGAGCTTTGCACATAAGAGGCAAATATCCCACTGCTGATCTATTTCTCCTCCCCCTCCCCTGTTTAATATGAAGCAGCACATTTTCCCTCAGCTCAAAACATTTTAATTCAGTTTCTGAGTGTCTGCAATAAATATGTGCTGTTATAATCAACCTACCTTATAAAATACAGTATCAGTGTCATGCTCATGAATTTTAAAACTATATACTTTAACAATACCGCCTGGAAGAGGACTTGGACTCCATGTCAGCCATACAAAATCTGAAGTGTAGTTGATTAAAGTCAAATTCTGGGGTGGTGCTAAAGGCACTGCAGGGAAACACATTATAAAACTTGTGTTCATAAAACACGTAGCACAGAAATACTATCTTGAGTCTAGCTTCTTCAAGAAACTAATTCAGAGAGGTTTATAAAAATGACCACACATTGTAATTCTAGAAACGAATACCATAAGCAATTTTGCTCTTATATTTACAGCCCTATGCTTCAAAGCAGTTTTAAACAGAACAGGTAATTCTGAAGCCTGAAATGGGAAAGAGAAGAGATCAGCAAAATAGGCAAATGATGGTAAGTTGGCTACAAGCTGGATCTAAAGTTCTTCACTGTGCAGGCTGTTCCTTCACAACAGAGAGTGTGAGCTGAATAGAGAAATCACTTGAAGCGGCATATCTCCCGGCTTACCTGATTCATCTGTGTAAAAGAAAAGAATACTGGAAGGACCAAGTCCTTTCGTAGTTCTCGCAGCAGCAAAAAAACTATATAAGGTAAATGGCGAGAGTTCTTCCAGGACTATATGGTTCCCAGAAGTGATGAAAGAATGGTTTGCTTGTGGTCCTTGTAAAGTTAAATGGTAGCTTAGTATTACACCATTTGGCTTTAATGGGGGATCCCAAGATAAGAGAATTGAGGTAGAGGAAAGGTTTTTAAAAGTGTTGATTATTGGTGGAGTTTCTGGAACTATAAAAGAAAAAGAGAATGTCAAATGAGATAACAAATTTTCATTGGTAAAGAAGATGCTTCAATTATAATTGGACTTAATTTTATTAGTAGACTTTTAATTTTAAGCCCCTTAGGACATACTATGTCTATTGAAAAGATAATTACCTGAGAACATAATTATAAATAATGTCTTTTGTTAAAAAAAAACGCAATACAAACAAAGAGGACATTAATAATCTTCATAAAAAGCAAAGACAGGGTCTTGCCTACCGTCTTCTTCAGTTTTGACATGTAGCCAGGCAGTATAGGTCTCAGAGAATCCCTTTTCTGTTGACGGTGTAATTTTAAATATATAGTCAGTATATTTTTCCAGATTATCAAAATATATGCTGTTTTCATATGTAATCAGAGGCGGTCTCATGGCGTGAGGACTCTGCCGTAAATTCAGTGAAACATAGTAGAAGACAAGGCCATTTGGTCGGGCTGGTGGCATCCAGCTCACGTTTATTGCAGTTGATGAAATGGACTCAAAAGTCAGATTTCCAACAAGCCCTTCGGGTACTGAGGTAGGTAGTGATGAGAACATAAAAGCCATTAGTTATCCCAGTGATAACAATTTATAAATTGAATGTAATTATTGAAACATCAACACCAGCTCATGCATGTATATTATTTAAATACAAAAATGTATATCCTTATTAATATGGAAATTTTTCAAAATAAGCCTTATCATTCTTAACACATGTAGTAATTGTGCTTCTATCATATTCTTCTGACTTTCCTTTCTTACCATATGAGGATTACATGTGTTTATATGCAACATGTATTTCTAAGTAGAATCAATGGTTTAATAATTATCTAAATAATATGTTGATTTCCTTATTCCAGTGATTATCTAAATACACAGAGATGATGCTCAAAGTCAATAGGAGACTTGCTCAAAGCCATGTTTGGAGTAAGAATATTTAACTCTAAGATTTTCTGACTCCAGTAACAAGATGTCTCCTGCCAATCAAACACTAACCTGAAGTTGCACTTTAAGAAATTATTCCACTTATAAAATTTTAATTTTCAGGTATCAACTAGACTCAATGTAAATTTGAAAGTCTCACAAGACACAATACACAGCAAATAGTTATTACTTATGGTGCTGCAATTATAATTGATAAACTGTTATGGGGGTTGCAGTTATCTTGGGAGCAATCTACAACTAAAGTGTCTGAAATGATTTTGACCACAGTATGATAAAAGGTTTTGTTAAACATTCATCACCTATACATTTTACCTCGTTGATTGTATTCTCCAGGTGAACCTGTCCACTACTCGAGTTATTTTTGCCAAGAACAAAGAAGTCTTTCATATTTATATTGGTAACATAATGATTTTTTTTCAAACAGTGAACATTGGGATTTAATTCATCAGACATTTAAGTCAAAGTCATTTCTCAATAGGACAGTAATATTTAGAATACAAACAAGTAGAGGGGCTGGAGAGATGGCTCAGCAGTTAAGAGCACTTTCTTCTCTTCCACAGGACCTGGATTGGGTTCCCAGAATGCACACGATGTCCCTCAATCTTCTCTAACTCCATTTGTGGTGCAGGGGAGTTTTATGACCTTTTCTGGCCTCCAAGGGAACTCTAATCACCTGATACACTCACATACATGTAGGCAAGACATCCATACACATAAAAAATCCTTAATATTAAACAAAATGGAAACAGAAGCCACATGAGAAATGGACAGTAGTCCAGCTTTCATTGCATTCTGAAAACTGAAACTGAAACAAAGGAAAAATCAAAATCAAGAGCTCAGTCATCATAGTTGTGTGAATGTTCAGCATGAACAGCCTTCTGAAGAAGCTGCATATAAGAAATTTCTTTTAATTGAAAATAGGTATTTTTATTATGTTCATCACAAAGACAATTTAAAAACTGCTTCATGAAGTCCTGTGTGGATTCAAAGTCAGAAAAGAAAGTTAGCCACTGGGGATTTCAAAGCAACTTCTGAAACAAATGAGCAGGTGTTTTAACTATCACAAAGGTTATCCAGGATTGCAGGAGTGTTCTTCCCTGTCGATTCTGGATGACTGTGACATCTCTCAAAGCAACAGAAGCAACAGGATTTTAATGAATGGATGAAAAGAAAGCCTGAATGAGCCTGTCCAGTATTCAAAAGCTATTTTTACCAAGAACAAGCAAAGTATTCCTTTGTCATGTTTATATTGCTCAATTTATGATTTTTTTCAATCTATACAATTCAAATGTTATTATAAATACGATGGGCAGGAACTATGGCACTTCTTATATAGTAGGCTGAAACAGAACAGACCAGTGAAATGACATTTAGTGGGCATTAGAAGTAAAGTCATAGCCGGGCGGTGGTGGCGCACGCCATTAATCCCAGCACTCGGGAGGCAGAGCCAGGCGGATCTCTGTGAGTTCGAGGCCAGCCTGGGCTACCAAGTGAGTTCCAGGAAAGGCGCAAAGCTACACAGAGAAACCCTGTCTCGAAAAACCAAAAAAAAAAAAAAAAGAAGAAGAAGAAGTAAAGTCATAAAGAGCACTCAACTTCCAGGTGTTTACGAAGAACCCTCCTGTAGAGACCCCTCAGTTCATTCACAGCACAGTGTTAAAATAAAAACCATCAACCCTATGAAAATATTATGCAGGAAAAATGGAAGAAGCTGTTATAGTTGTAATAGTCAGAGCCACATTAGATATATTTAAATTCCTAGGACAAGAGTTAAATATGTCTGGCAGATTTTAATGCCAATGAACACAAATAGAAGTTCCTGACATAATTATGAGATTGTCAAGTTTTCCGATTAAAGATAAAGACATGTTGATTTACATACTGTCTTGGTCCGTGTATACATGAATTATGTCACTGCTTTTATTCCCGTCTCCAACTGAAGTGCTTGCTGTTAACCAGAATGTATAGTAGCTGAATATTGCTAATCTATATATTTTTACAGACACTGTCACGTTGTCAGGCTCATTAGTTACTTCCAGGAAGGTAAAATTCTGAAAAATAAGCACATTATTGTAATAGTTCAGAGTGTGTTTTAGCAGGCATGGATGTTGAAAAAGAGTTATTGACCAGGAACTGTCTGCTATTATTTTAATATTTTAATTCTTAGGAGAAACAACATAAAGTAATGTTACCATAAAAATTAAACTTGAATTACATTCATACTAAAAGGGAACTAAATGGTAGCAGTTTTTCTTACCAGATCAATACATAAAATATTAAAGAGAAAAGCACTGACACTTTATCCTGTAGAAAATGTCAAATGGCCAAGGGAAAACTCCATGGCTATGCTGGCCCAGATCAGTTTCCCTTGGGAAACTTTTAGGTATTTTTTAAGGCATTGGATATTTTCAAATAGATTTGAAAAAAAAATTAGAACAACTTTTCATTTTCTTTTTTTCCATTAATAATAATGGAAGTGTGGAAGTATTTGACTTATCTACAAACTCAAACCATTTCTGTTATTTATCTTCAGTGACTCTTTATTGTACTGTTGTAGGGAACAAAGAAGAGGCAGTTAATACACTCATATACAGAGTTAAAATAAAATTCAATATTTTTTCAGTATTTAAGGAATTTGTGCTACAATTTCCTTTCTGGACAATATTTAAAATTTAAAAAAATATCATTTAAACAAAAAGAATTCTAAAGTAAAGGAAAATGAATTTAAGCCAAACCACAAAGTTAGCGAAGAGTGGTGCACTTCGTAATTCCAACACCTGGACAAATGAGTCAAGGGGATCCCTAGGTCAAGGTCAGTCTGCACTATATAGTGAGTTTCAGGGAGCCCGAGATACCTAGTGGACCCTGCCTCAACAAAAGTGTATCAATATCAACACTTTCATAAGAAAAATGCGTCATACAATTTACACCAATTACTTTAAATCTTACAGACCTAAACTCAAGTATAGCAAAGCAGGGCTTGACCAAATTCTAATCTCAATGGTTCTCGGCCCTTAACAATAAAATTGGAATAATTCTTCCCACTTTATAGAGAATAACTCTTTATAGAGAGTTACTGAGGATTAGACTCAATGATACACACAAACCAATTAATAGTGTGCTTAACGACAATAAAGCAAGAATAATTTGCTTAACTAATTAATGTAGGAAACTCTGTTTGAGTATGTTTACAGGCAAGATGGTTCTAAAATTTATTGACTTAAAAAGTCACAAGTTTTGTGGGGTTTTTTTGACATTATCTGTCAGTACAACAAAGGCTTTTCTTTGATTTTTGTGGTGTCTTATTTGAGAACAGACATGTTAAAGCCATGTAAAAATTCCTCGGAAAATGTAATTTATGAGCTTGGATGCCTTCTAATACACCAACTGTACACATAGAGTAACTGTATATGTAGAATAACTATACATATAGAATAACAGTACACAGAATAACTGTACACATAGAATAACTGTACACATAGAATAAATGTACACAGAATAACTGTATACATAAAATAACGGTACACATAACATAACTGGCTGATGTAGCCACAACTTAAAAGTATTAATTACTGCAAGGTTATTAGAATGAATCTTAGTTTTTCATTGAAATAGAATTCATTCAAATTATCTATAAACATCACAAATAAGCAATGAATTATTTTGAATCACCCAAAATTTGTTCCAGTTGGGTGTATGACTAAGCATGCATAGACATGAAACAAATTCATAAAATCTTAGACATTATACCGGTGACCATTTTATTAATTTCTACATCTCATATACCTTATTTTTGCCTCATAATGTCTTTTGGCTCAAATTATCTAATTAAACCTTACACTTTATTCATGTAAATATAGCCGGAAGGTATCCTACAAGTGCTTTCTAATTTAATTATTGAGCAAACTTATTTTAGCACTTTTAAATGTATATGGCATTCTGTCAGAGATATTAAGAAATTGGAAACATAGTAGAAACTGAATAATGTAAGTGGTAACTTCCTCTACTACACACAATGTGTGATAACTGAATAAAGGTAAATCATTTACCAGGAGCAAAGAGCTTATGCTACTCAAGAAGGCATGGAAAGATGGCTTCAGTTCCTGCTCAAATGCTTCTGAATCATAGCTAAGTGCTAAAAAGCTTGCATCATGGCAATAATTTTAATGTTATTTCAATTAAAATATTTGTTGTTCATTAAACCTATACATGAAACTGCTCCAGGAACATAGATGGAATATAAATATCATATGTCCCATTTTTTCAATGCATTAGCTATCACAGAAGGATTCTAAAACATGGACCAGATGTCCGGAATAGGAGGTAAATAAAGAATGCTAAGTGTGGGGGTGTTCCACAAAGTTCTGTGGGAAGGAGAAAGCAGAAGATAAAAGCTATATACATAATCTGCTACATAATTTTTCATTCCAAGTACTTCTTCCACCAACTAAAAAAAAGATAGAGATGATATGCTACTTTGAACATTAATTTTAGGAGTGCATTAAAGCCTGAGTGAATGTCAAGCAACATGAGACTGTCGCCTGAAAAGTTTTAGGATCGTTAGCCTGTGCCCTCTTGCAGCTGTTACACTTAAAAGCATTCTTAAAATTATTTGATAGGAGATAACCTGTTCTAAAACTGATGAGTTGAAAATGGGATCATATTATACATGCAGGTTTGAATATGTAGACTTGGATGATTGTGCTGAGACCGTAGATAGATGTTCAAAACTGAGGTGCAGTTGGAGCCAAAGAGAATCAAAGTGTAAATTTGCATGAACTGCAAGTATAATGGACAGAAGTGAAACAATTGCTAAGATCTCAAACTACACAAACAATGCATTTAGCATAAAAAAGGAAAATCTTCATGTTGAACGTCTTTCATGGCATAATGAAATAATGTTCAATCTGTGAGTGAATCTGTGGTAATAAATAATTGCCTTGCTTCTTTTCAGTTTTCAAAAAGGGATAAAATATCTGCTTGATGTACAGAGGAAAAAAGCAGACATTTCTTTTGTTCTTTGTTCTTAAGTCATTTGTTTAAAAATATCTTTGCCTATAATTAGATATATATCTATATTTATATATCTTTTATAAAGTAGTCTTCCTATTAAATATGGAGTTATATAATTCCAGTTAGAGAACAACATGTGAACAAGACCTGACCTCTGTACATTAAGTTCTACTGCATTTGCCTGAGACAGTTTGCAAAGCTCTGTCCTTAACCTATGAACTCAGCAAGCCATACTGCAACCTAGTCCTAGAGACAGTCAATCACAAGTCCTGACTCTCAGCTAAGTGTCCTGAGTAACAAATGGAACTCAGTCACTGCAAAGTACAGACTATCTGCCTTCTCTTTCCATTAGAAAGACACCCTGAAATGGGAACTGCCAAGTCACCATCAATTCAGTCATTTTGCCCAGTAAGAACCTTACTCTGCAAATTACAGTATTTTTTTAATTCATGTTTCTCAGATTATATTCTAACTCCCCTGTCTTTGATTGAACCACACAACTGTAGCTGGAGCTTTCCTGCCTGGCCCACAGTCAGAACAAATTTCTATCACCTGCCAGTCCCACAGCCACTCAAACCCGACCAAGTAAACACAGAGACTTATATTGCTTACAAACTGTATGGCCTTGGCAGGCTTCTTGCTAACTGTTCTTACAGCTTAAATTAATCCATTTCCATTAATCTATACCTTGCCACATGGCTCATGGCTTACCGGCATCTTCACATGCTGTTTGTCATCATGGCGGCTGGCAGTGTCTCTCTGACTCAGCCTTCCACTTCCCAGCTTTATTCTCCTCCTTGTCCCGCCTACACTTCCTGCCTAGCCAATGGCCAATCAGTGTTTTATTTATTGACTAATCAGCAACACATTTGCCATACAGAACATCCCACAGCACACAACCATAATTTTCTCTTTTTTATATATTAGAAATCTGAAAAATATTTAATTTGGAGAAATCATATAACTGTGCTGGACAAACTGAAAACATTTCTCTAAATTAAATTCATCTTGGCTCATTTATTACTGCTATATTCATATTCAAGATAATTCCCCCCTGCAAACCACAGTCCTGTGACCTACATTCTGCAGACTAATAACCATGTGCCTATTGGTCTTTGTTATAGCTGATGCTAAGCAATAATAATATCATTGCAACTATAAAAACTTCCTTCCTGATAATAAAAAATTTCATTTGAGGAAAAAATACTATACTATAAATATTTGTCCTTAAACCCACAGATAAGTGTCGTCTTCAGCCCTCATCAATAAAACTTTTCTTTCAACAGAAAATATTAAAGAAAACCACAACCAATCAAAATGCAGAGTTGTAGAGGCAAGTCCCAGTGGACACACCTACAAAAGGGAGTGAACATTGTTAGCCAGAGAGTCGGAAGAGTTTACTATGAGATTCTCTTAGTAATGTCAGAAGACACGCCTACAAAGTCTTATCCACGTGACTTCCCAAATATGAGCTGAACAAGGACAACATCAATGGAAATGTCAAAGCAGATGGGAAAAGTCTGCAAGGCCTCAGCCCTACAAAAAGAACTACAGGCAACTAACCAATGCAGAAAGTGGGAGAATTAGTTTTCTCGGGGGAAGAACACACCAATTAATTATCTAAAACTAAATAGTCAGCCCTGAAAATATATGTATGAGTAACGTTACACAGATTGAGCAGGTTGTGTTTATGTATTTAGGAGTACATACAGATATACATATATGTTTGTAACAGTAATTAATGAAAAACAGAGGTCATGAATTTGAAAGAAAGCAGGGAGGGGTATATGGGAGGCTTTAGAGGAAAGAAAGGAAAGGAGAAAATGATGTAATTATATCATAATCTCAAAAACTAAAATAAATAATTAAAAATATGTGCCAGGTGGTGGTGGTGCATGCCTTTAATCCCAGCACTTGGAAGGCAGAGGTAGGGGAATCTCTGTGAGTTTGAGGCCACCCTGATCTACAAAGGGAGTTCCAGGAGAGCCAGGACTGTTACAAAGAGAAACATTGTCATGAAAAAATAAAAAAAAATGCAAGAAAATTTAACCACCGAAACTGTGTTCTATACAAACAAAACTAAAATATGTTTTCCGCTAAGAAGTGAGAGTAAGTGAAACCATTGTTGTTTAAAAAGAACAGTTATTAGAGAAAATAGAATTGAAGTTTGTTTATGTGATACCACCTTCACTGATGTAAACATGTAAAAAGCAAAAGTACTTGACTTTTCTCCACCACTATTTTATATATCAATGAGATTTTCGTAAAATACAACTGTGCACAATTATCAATATAAATAGTCCACAATATTAACGACATAAAAATTAATACTCAGCTCTTACCTGCACATAAGTACCTGAAGTATTCTGGTAGTAAACAGAATAATATTGTATGATACCATTAGGTTTTACAGGAGGCGTCCAAAAGAGAATTATTGATGAAGAACTGAGATTCACATAATGGACATCTTTGGGAGGGTCGCTGGGTGCTATAAAACAAACAATTCAGAAACTTTGCAGTCAGGGATACAAGTTAAGCTGAAGTGTCTAAATTTTGCAACAGCTGATAAGTTAAAAATGGGAATAATCATATTTGAAAAAAATCTTAAATTAGGAATAGTATCTACATGAATGTCAAAAATGAAATGCATATCATGCCCCACTCTTTTATCATGATATCCACAGAAGGGACTTTCTTACTCATACAGTATATCCTGTCTCTAAAAGATTGCCACTGCTTTTCATTTGTAGATAACACCATTGCCAGTTTCTAGTAGAGTACATGAATATGAAATCCTGTTTTAATGTACAGTCTTGAATTAATAAATGCTAAAAGCAGACAGAAAGTCAACATCAGTTAGTTTGTTTTTCTACATTTAGCCTACAGATAAAATATTGATGACATGTTAAGTCCTGGGCTGAATCCATCCACAGATCTTACTCCTTAGCTCCTCATCGGAACCCTGTGATGTCATACACTGTTTCAAACAGGAAATTGAAGCACAGACAGATACTTAGTTTTCCCAGCCTTACACAGGTAGGAAGCAGACACAATTTCGCATCCAGCTAATGGGGACTGTTAGGCTTAGTAGCACATGTTGATATTTGATATTATTTTTGAGCTGAATAGTCTTTGAATTGACTGAGATCTTTGAGAACTCACCTCCCTCTGGTGTTCGAAAGTTAATGATACTGCTTCTTCTTTTCCCATCTCCAAATCTGGTACTAGCTGTTACATAGGCACTATAGTCAACATTATAGTCCAAGTCTGACAATTCCAGTGAGGCTTCAGTTGCATTAATAGTTTTTAATGATGATTTATCCCTAAGAGAGACAGAGGAAAAGTAAAACTGACATTTTCATTAAATGCCACCAGGTACTTTGGAGAATTACTACATCAAAAATATGTATCACTCATATACAGTAATTTATGGGCTTAACTTGATAGAGATGCCACTTATTCTGAAATATCAAAAGTAGCAAATATCAGAACACTTCAATAAATTAACTTCATTAGCTTCCAAGTATATTTAGTAATTCAACCAAGTGTTAAGTGTTTATAATTACAATTGGCTTGGGCCAATTTTAGTGCATCTGGGGATAGTGCAACTTCACTGGATTGAGTCGCACAAAGGAAAAGCACAACTTTGGATATGTCTGAGAGTGTGTCTTCAGAGAGGATTAACTACTGGGGAAAGATAGTGTGAAAGTGGATGATGTCATCACAGTGGTTGAGGGTCAGGGTAGAATAAATGTAGAAAAGAGAATAACTAGTACAAGCCGTATGTAGCTCTCTCTTCTTCCTGGCAGCCATGAGGTGAGATGTTCCTATAAAATCATGTACCACAACTGAAACTTCTAAAACCATGAGCTCTGAGTCATTCATTCGCTCAACATAGCACTATAGTACATCCCATAATGTTACCTTCCAACCTCTTCAGAGTCATGGTGACTTCATCCTTCATATGCTGCCTCTGCTGAAACACTCTGTGACTCATTAACCTATTATTACCACCAACATTCCAAAATGAGAAGTCTGGTCAAGAAAGTTCCGTTGGTTTATATTGAATGCTTTAAAATTTAGGTATCATTTTTTTTGAGACATGATATCACTATACATCTCCTGCTGGCCTTGAACTCATGATTCTTCTGCTTCAAATTCTCAAGTACTAGTATTATTTGCATTATTCTATTAGGACATTTCAATAGGATGAAAATCTTGTAGTAACTGCACAAATGGTACTATGTATAGTTTTATATCATACTAATAGTAATGTATAAAGATTAGATTTTATATTACTCTGGAAATTTTTAGATCCATAAATTTAATAAAGAGCTGTATGAGAATTGTCTTAAAACCCTAATCAATGGCCTTCAGCAAATACTTTAAAATTATTTTACATTGGCATATTATTACATACTTAATAAATCTACAACCACTTTGAGATTCTACACATTTTTATTTCTATACATGTGTTGACATATATCTGTCAAACTGTGGTTCAGTATTCCTCCTCATAGTATTTGGGAAAGAAAATAAGCTAGAATCACAATATCACTTTTACTCCATAGTCTTTTACCTGTACCTGTTAGGATATCCCTTTAGCAATTTTGGAGAAAACTATCTCTCAATTTTACTGACACACAAAGAGACAAAATTATTAAACAAATCCAAGCTTCATTCAAGAATATAGCATGTAAATTAGCTTTGTATGATTTTACAAGAACATTGTATCTCAATTCAAAGTGCATTGAAAGAATAAATATACAATGTTCTAATAAAACTATTTAATTAATGTATTTGCCCTCACCAAGGACTGTGCATCATTGAAAACATATAACTTGTTGACATGAAGGAGGGAAAATGTTACTTTATCATCTTGATATGATGAGCATTATTTCGTGATGAACAGTTTAAAGGAACACATTATTTTAAGCTGTAAAAGATTAAGACAGATTTCTGAATAAATCATCTGTAAACTGTGACTAGTGTGGTAGTGGAAACAGAATGATTGCACATCAATCCTCATGAGTAGTTTTGTAGAGGAATATTCATGACAAGGAGAAGAGTCACCCAGAATGCTAAATATAAAATCATTCATCTCAAAAACACAGTGAAAGCAAGACTATCCAAAGGGATGGTTTTATGAGAATTTTGAATTATTAAAACAACTGGAATGATAGAAATTTGGTATCATGGGAGATACAGAAAGCCTGGAATAGAGATCCTGCTCCACATAGCACACATCACTTTTAGATTTAAATATTTTAGATTTAATATTTTAAGGGAACCACACATAACTATGTACGTATCAGAGCTAGAATTCAATCCTATGTCTCACTAGCTTGAAATCCATGAGTTGTGAACGATGATACCTGCACCATATCTTCTCAATTAAACTTATAATGGCAAAAGTTCTCTAAAACATTAGTCATCAAGAAGCAAAAATCAAAAACTATCACCTCTTCATAGCAACACTGTCCAAAGCTTACAAGAAATATCTCAGTAAAAATTGCTGTAAATTAAAAATACATTTTTAGCTACTTCATTATCATGCATATATGTTTCATTATGTAGATTATCTTCTTGAATATGTTGTAATTTTTTTGCTTTACATTTGTGTAAAATAATCACCCCACTAAAGTAACCATTAGTTGTATAAAGTGCATTATTCATATGGCAAACACCCTAAAAGAGTGAAGAATAAGCTTTGAACCTTAAAACTATACTTTTCATTTATTCATCTACTCAATATATAATAAAGTTTCAATTAATTGTGAATGGTAGTTTACTGTCTTAAGTTCAGCAACAAACAAAGCAGATTTCTATGTAAGTGTATGTAGACATGCTAAGTGTGTTTTTGTCTGTATCTGTGTGTGCATCGCTATGTGTGTGGTTAGCAAAGCCAAGTGTGCTGGCAAATTTTCTATTTACCTTTTGCATATTGAGAGTCAATCTGAGGGCCTGGAGAGGTGGCTCAGTGGTTAAGAGTAATGGCAGATTCTCAGAAACCACATGGAAGTTAAAAACCATCTATAACTCAAGTTCTGGGGGGATCTGATGGCTTCTTCTGACCTCCTCAGGCACCAGGCACACATGTAGTACACAGTTATCCATGTAGGCAAAACATTCATACGCATAAATTTTTAATTAAACAATTAATGAAAGGAACCAATCCTGTATAATTTGAGACCCCAAAATTTCATAACCCAGAATGAGAAGATGAATCAGTCGACAGGAAATTCTTGTTCTTTAAAAATGAGGGCCTGAGTTCAAATCCCCAATACTCATATAAAAAGCTGAGCAATGGCTCTGGGGGCCTGGAAGCTCTGCATTTGGGTGAGTGTGGATGGAGACAGACAGCTACTGAGAGCTTTCTGGCCAGTCAGTCTGGTTCAAATATTGAGATCGGGTTCAGTGAAAAAATCTATCTCGAGGAAATAGTATAAGAAGGATAGAGGGAGACAACCCATTGGCCTTCTATAGCATGAATATGTATACCACACAGAAGCAAGCACAAATATGCACTGCACATGCATGTACAACACACACACACACACACACACACACACACACACACACACACACACTCATTTTTTAAAAAAAGGATCTCTTGCCATCTGTCAAGAAAAAGGAGTATTATCATGAATAAAAAATTTCTGAGAGATCAGACTGGGAGGCATAAGCTAGTCATATTGGAGTGTCTCAGGGGAATAAAGAAAATACCGAAGTAGATTTGTGAGGGAAACCCCATGTAAAGAGGCTTATTCTTGCAGCAGTGAAAAAACTTTAAAGCCCTTTGAAAATCTCAGCATGGTGTGTTACCCTGTACAGCAAGGTCTATGGGGTCCTGAACCAACTAACCAGAGTGACCGGAAGACGTGGAGGAACCTTGCAGGCACCACACAGTTGCAGACTGCAGCTAAGGCAACAACCAAAAGAGTCTATTATCTGAGGGCCAAGGGGACCTGCAGACTTGGATAAGTCTTGAGAAAATCAAAGATAAAACAGAAAATAAGAGCTTTCAAAACTGGAACTATAACTGTAAGTCAGTGTCAGATAAATTCTCAACAGAGGCCAGGTTCATGGAGCTACAATAGCATACACTGGAGACACGGGCACCTGGCTTTCACCAAACTTCCCTTGTGCTCAGGTCTATCTTGAAAGGAATCAGGGAAGAAATACCTCTTCAAAGATGAGAGAATAAGTATTCTCAGAGAGGAGTTGAACTTTGAATTTATTGTTTGCCCTAGAAAAATTAAGCTAATTCCATGGAATGTGAAAAGCATGAGTTGCCTTAAATGTTCCCACAGTCCTCACCATCATTACAAAAAGCATAATGAATAAGTTATTGAGAATAAATGTCTTGTTTTATATAACATGTGAGTCTAACCTTACTAGAATGTTAAATATAAAATATCTGCCATTGCTCACATTCACAAAATCCTCCCACTTTATACACTTCCATATTAAAGACAGACAACTAGAATTATAACCATGCTCCTAAAATAGGTGGTTAGTATAGATCATCATCATCCAAGCCCAGAAAGATATAAATCCAATACAGCTGTACACCTTAGTATTCTCTCCAGGCTCCTGTGTACTGTGCTGAGACTCCCAGATGCTTTGTGAAGAAAGGCATGGGGATAGCACAGAAGAAGATGTTTTACTTACATTTTACTAAAACATCAGAAATTCAGGATTTAACATGCATGGTTCAAACATCAGGAAGCCACTGTTGATTCATCTCTTTTATTTTTTAATTTTTACTCCTATAACCAATCAATGTATCACCAGGTCCACTGGGCTCTTCTTTCTAAATTTAGCACAAAGCTGCCCACTCCCTCCTCCGCTGCCAATATCATCTCTTGCCTACACTATTGAATAACCTACTTCCTGGTATCCTGCTAACAATTTCATCCTCTACAATTCATTCTCTGTGCTGGGAATGCTCTGGCAACTCTTAAGTTAAAATGGACAAGCAGATTGTCTTCATGACTTGGCATCTGAGCTTTATCAGTGCTCTGTCAAAATTTTACTCTCCTCTGATTCCATACTCCTTATCAAACCTAACGCTCTGGTCTTCAAAATGACAAATCGTGTTTTCCTATGGCCAGGGGGGTGGGGTAGGGGAGTAGAGTCAATATTGTGCCCTCTTGGAAAGTTCCCTGCAGATCAATGCAAGACAAGAGGTGTCTTCTTGTTACTCAGATCATAAAGGAAGATAACTTTATGAAGTTCTCTTCTTTCACCTAATGTTTTCTCCATTGTCTACTTCTGAGTATACAATCCAGCTTTCTCTTTACAGTAGACTCACTGAGACAGGGCCTTGATAGTGTCTTGTTCACAGGTACAGAGATATGATGAATGGATGGATGGATGGATGGATGGATGGATGGATGGATGGATGGATGGATGGATGGGTAGATGTGTAAACTAAGTGGAAAGATGGATGGAGTAGAATTGCTTTTTCCTTTCTATTACTTCCTTTTCACTAGCAATTCATGATATTCCCAGTGTCACCAAAACTAGACAAAACAACCAGAAAGCAGGTATTTATGTAAGAAAGATAAACTTTAAGGAACAGTATACACAAGGTCTACAGAGGAATTGGAGGAAATCTTAATTCAGGAAAGCTTTTGAAATGGGGTAATCTCTCCAATGCTGGTCCTTCTCAAATTCACATTTACATTTCTAGGAAGTATCTATTTTTAACAAAATACTATATAAATTTTATTTTTTGAGTTAAAATAATTTAAAATGTCTTTAAAATGTGTTACATGCGTAGTGGGATCTGTTTAAAGAACATAAATTAGATCAAAAGGGGAATTCTAGTCTCCTGGGTTGTCTTAAAGCAGTATAGCTGTTTGTAAACTCATATGAGACACACTTTGGACACCATCATTTTCAAAATTGAAGGATAAATAAGTAACTAAAGTTAAAGTGACCAGTAAATCACTGCTTACCATTAATGGAAAGCTGACCTTAATATATCTAAAAGCATATCTTTGATTTATATTTCAATCAAAATTATTTTATGTAAGAAAATGTGTATAAAGCATTTGTTTTAAAAGTTTCAAATATTTTAAATTATACACTTGTAATCATGTAAGTTGATTATCCAGATCTTCAAGAATATACATTTAGTATAGTTTTCCATAGCATAATTTTTTTGTTTTAGTTGCAAAGATTTTTATTTGCTGACCCACTGCATAATATGAGGTAAACTTATTTCTTAATAAAAGGCATTTTAACCCACCTATTAATAATCAGGGCCCTAATGCAGCATCACATTCTGAAATAAACACTACATTCCTATTATATTACAAATTAATATTTGTTCTCAGAACTACTTCCAAAAAAATTCTTACCAGACATAAACTGTGTAATAGAGGATAATTCCATTTGGCTCCAAGGGTGGTTGCCATGACAACATCACAGTGACACCAGACAACTGTTTCACAGAGAAGTTCTGAGGGGGAGAATCAGGAGCTAGAAATTTGTGACAAAGAATGACACATTTCATTAAATATATATGGAAAGTGTGAAAATGAAAGCACATAGTTGTTGGGATTTTTTTGTCTGTTAAATTCTATGGTAAACGAAGCGAGTTCAGAGCTTCTCTCCACAGACAGGAGAGCCTGATTGTTTATGTTCAGATGAAATGATGAAAGAAGATTTTCATGGTGCTCTTGGAACATCTGCTCCTGTGATTCAATGGAAAAAAGTATTTCATGAGAAAATACAACACGGGTCTGTCACAGTGACTCATTGACTGATCAAGAACATCTTGGTAAATTAGCACCCTCTAGTAAAAGCAAATATTTTATCAGGGTGAATAAATGTATCACATACTAAAGCTCTCCCCAGATAATGAAAAGTTGGGAGAAAAAAAGGTGTCATACATTCAAAGAACAGTAAGAAAAAGAGTTTGATGGAAATTAGAATGACTAACCTCACCCAGACCAATGGCATTCCTCAACCTTAGATGTGTCAGAAAATACTAAATAAGACCAAAATCTAATCAATGAATCTTTATAATTGAACGGATCCACAGGAAACACCAGTGTAGCAGTATAGCACATGAATAAGAAAATGGTTAGAATCACTCTTAGATAGCAGAGAATGGCTTGTTTTATAAAATGAGCGAATGCAGTGGTGACAGCTATAGTTGGTATTTCTGTTTTGGTGTTTTCAATGGCACTACATTGGAAAATGCTGTCGAATACTGATTATCCCATGAGTCTGCATATCATTTAGAGACATGTGTTTCCTGTGCTATGAATCACATTCTCTCACTTATCAAAGCAAACCTGTAAATATTCTCTTATCAACTTTCTAAAGGATAATTTGTGTTTACTTTTAGAAAAAAGGATGCCAGTCACCAACTGGAAGTGATTTAGATACAAACATCCAGCAATCCACATTTTTACTCCAAAATAAACTTTAAGATTCTTGGGAAGAATGCCAGAAAAAGTACATATATGCCCAAAGTATTAATATATTTTATATATACAATATTATATATTAATATATAATATATTATAATATTTATTACTACTTTGGGCATTTCTATTATCAAATACAATCCAGAAAAACTAAACTTTAGCCCAACAATAGTGACCAGCAGATAAAGTCACTAGTTGCCAAGCTTAATATCCTGAGTTCAATTCCCAGAACCTACATGACAGTAGGAAATAACTCACTCCCAAGAGTTGACCTCTGACTTCCAGTGAGTACAACACACACCGACGTGAACATATACACACATACACACTAAATATAGTAGAAACTAAAAATAAATGAATTTTTAAAAATTAAGATCTTTTACAGCATAATCAATTCAGCCTGTCAGATCTTCAGAACACATGAAGGGTCTTCCACTGACATGATCTCACCTCACTCATACCCTCTTCACTCAACTTCCTTCAGGTCCCCGCTTAAACATAATGCTTAGCTCTATTTTCCCAGATGCCCTGGAGTAATATAACCTCCTCTTTATTCCTAGTGAATAATTTTTGGAAGCACTTCTACCAGTAATTAAAAGTACACAAATTACTTGTTTATACACTTGTCAACTATAGGTCACTTCTACACTGAAAACTCTCTGAGTTGAAGTGTCTAACTCAGCAAAGTCAACTTCCCCAGGCCACTTGTCATTTGCTGAAATTTTTTAGGAAAGGCAGAAGGAATTTTTTGTCTATCTCTCTCTTCCTCAGTGAACATACAATTGGGCCAAGAATTCAGATGAACATTTGCCTTGACAACCGATTTTTAATGACCTGAGTGACCCCACATGATAATAAGAATTGCGTTTACAGGCCAGCCATTTTAAGTAAACAAGAAGTCAGGCAGCACACGCCTTTAATCCCTAAGCAGGCAGGATCTCTGTGTGTTCAAAGCCAATCTAGGGAACAGAGCCAAGTGTGGTGACACTCGCCTTTAATCCCAGTACCAACCATAGAGACCTGGAGGTCTGTACAGACAGTCAGACAGTGACAGAGCTGTGTAGGAAGAGGAAATGAGCTAGCTGGGCTAAGAGCCAATGAGAGGGCAGAAAAGCAAGGCATATTAAACTTGGGTAGATAGGAAGTTGTGCTCTTTGGAAGTTGTGGAGTTGGTGAGGTGAGGTTAACTAGTGGCTTTCATATTTCCCTGATCTCTCTAAGGCTTTAACCAAAAAAAAAAAAATTGCTTTTACATAGAAAGCCAGCTATTGGGCTGGAGAGATGCCTCAGCGGTGAAGAGCACTGGCTGCTCTACCAGAGGTCATGAGTTCAATTCCCAGCAACCACATGGTGGCTCACAACCATCTATAGTAGGATCTGATGCCTTCTTCTGGCATAAAGGCATACAAGCAGATGGAACACTCATATCCATAAAATAAATAAATAAATAAATAAATCTTTTTTAAAAGCCAATTGTGTCAAAATATATAACATATAAAGCATAAACTCCAAAAAACTATTCCAAAGCATGTCTCTCAGAGTGATTTTTAATGATCTTTAATTTGTGCCTGTGTTTTGTGGAAGTATCAATGCAAAGTGATCTCAGCAATATTGTTGATTTTACTCAAGTTTGGAAAATACATGAGTAAATGTTTAATATTATTCTGCTGACCACCAAGAGAGAAACCTGGATACCAACCTAGCCACAAAACCTTTGATCTATAATCTGCCCTGCCTACAAGATGTGCTGGGGCAATGGTGGTCCAGAACTTGTGGAGGTGGCCAACCAATGTCTGGTTTAACTTGTGGCCCATGCCATGAGAAGGAGCCCATGCCCTACACTGCTTGGATGTCCCGGAACTGTAGATTAGATAGCCCAGAGCCCTAGGGTAGAACCAAGCATGACTGGTTAAAAAAAAATCAATGAAATGATTCCTGATGATATTCTGCTGTATTAACAGATAAGTGACTAATCCAGTTATCATCAGAGACTTTTGCTGTGGATATCTGCATGCTGTGAATGTATTGCTCTGATTGTTTAATAAATAAAGTGCTGATTGGCCAGTAGCCAGGCAGGAAGTATAGACAGGACAAAGAGAGAGGAGAATTCTGGGAACAGGAGTGCTGAGTCAGGAGATGCTGACAGCCACCGCCATGAGAAGAAAGATGTAAAGGCAGAACTGGGAAAAGGCACCAAGCCACATAGCTAAACATAAATAAGAATTATGGGTTAGTTTAAATGTAAGAGCTAGTCAGTGGTAGGCCTGAGCTAATGGCCGAGCAGTTTAATTAATATAAGCCTCTCTGTGCTGACTTGGGTCCGAGCAGCTGCAGGACTGGCAGGTGAGAGAGATTTGTCCTGACCATGGGCCAGGCAGGACCAGGAAAACTTCAGCTACAGACTTTCTCCTTCAGCAGATAAGAGCGGGTACAGAGACCCAGAGCCAGACATTGCACAGAGAGAGAGAGTCTAAATTGGAGGTCTCCATCTGGTCCCTCCCCTTGGAGACCAGGGAACCCCATGGAAGGGGAGCACTATGAGTCAGAGGGGATGGAGGACACCAGGAGAACATGGCCCACTGAATCAACTAAGCAGGGCTCACATCAGGGAGACTGATGTGGCAAGCACAGGATCTGCAAGGGTCTGCACCAGGTCCTCTGGGTATATGATATGGCTGTTGGCTTGGTGTTTTTGTGGGACTCCTAACAGTGGGAGTGGGTGTGTCTCTGACTCTTTTGCCTGCTCTTGGGACTCTTTTCCTCCTATTGTGTTGACTTGTCCAGCTTTGGTGTGAGGGCTTTTGCCTTGTCTTCATGTATCTTGTTGTGTTATATATTGGTTGTTGTCTCTTGGAGGCCTGTTCTTTTCTGAAAAGAAATGAAAGAGGAGCAGATGTGGGAGAAGGGGAGGTGGGGGGAGCTTAGAGGAGTGAAGGGAGGGGAAACTGTGGTCAGGATGTGTTGTATGAGAGAAGAATCTATTTTTGATTAAAAAAGAGTATTAACGTTCATTGGTAGCATATTGGCTAATAACTAAAGAAATCTAAAACAATATCCTGATTGTATTAATAAGCTAATCCTAATACTTTAAGACACGTTGAAAGTTACATAAATTATACTCCAAAACTTCTGTAAATGTCATAAAAATGCTGAACACTGTTGGATTATAATATTCACACTATTCAACCTAAAACTTGGGTCTTAAAAACTCCCATGAAGTTGTTACTTAAATTTACCTAGTACAGTTGGCTTCAAAGGCAAAAAAAAAAACCAAAAAAAATGAAGACTGTTTCTGGTTTTTCTCCATGTAAATCTAACTTTTGTAGCTGCTCTTACAACGTAACAGTGAAATCTCTCTATAATACCAGTGCTGTGCATCGTTGATAGTTTAGAATTTTTACACTAGGTTTCATTTTGTATATGTCTCCAATCTATGGTCACATTACCCCCACTCTCATCTCTACGGGTTCCCTGAATGTTAACAAAGTGTATCAGTATACAGGGTAGTTTTACCATCTTCTTCAGTCAGTATGCTTATCGGCATACTCCGAACCCCCTTCACCTTTCAGTGTGCTAGCAGACACCTCGATCACATAATGGGTATATTTCCTCAGGCCTAGGCAGAAATAAAACAGATAAATTAACGCAGAGAATATATATATATATATATATATATATATATATCCTTTAGCAATATGCAGTAGGTAAACAATTAAAACAACTCTCAATTCAACACTCTTTCAAAAGTAAGAGCTAAATAAACTAGGATTGATTAGCAGTCTAAAAGTCCTAACCTGGGGCTGTGGAGATGGGGTAAATAGTAGCTGTGTAATCCTGGGGACCTTAGTTTGAATTCTCAGTAAAGGTAAGCAGAGTACTGTGTAACTGTAACCCCAGGGTTCCCAAGGTGAGATGGGAGGTACACACAGGAGAATCCACAGAAGCTCACAGGCTATCTAACCTGGCACATTCAGGTCAGAGGCAAACAGCAAAGAGATCCTACCTCAAACAAGGAGGCAGATGAGCACAAACACCTGGGATTGTCTTCTAACCTCTACATGTGTGCAGTGACACACACACACACACACACACACACACACACACACACACACACACACCATGCACACAAAAAAATCCCTTCTGTTGATGAACAAGATATACGACACTGTAGAAAATGCCAGACCTGGTATATTTTCATGTATTCCCACATTGTTTTGCCAAAAAGAATTCTTATTCCTGGTATATAAATAATCACAATTAAGTTATTTCAACATGTTAGGTTAATATTTTCCGGCCATGCTGTCAATATAAAGGGAAATATCAAACAGCAGAATTACATTTTACCTCTAATGTTCTGAGTCAGAGAGGTCGTGTTTATAATTTTTGCCTCATTGCCGTTACTTCTCTTGAGGTAAATTGTGTACTTTTGTATGATTCCATTTGGACTGCTTGGAGGAAGGAAGGATATCTCAATCTCTCCCGAGGAAATGTTTTTGTAAGTAATATTTTCTGGTGCACTATCAGGCACTGGGGAAAAAATTAAAGATGTGTTTTTATAAAACAAATGCACCCTAAAAAGAAAGGATATCTCAATCTCTCCTGAGGAAATGTTTTTGTAAGTAACACTTTCTGGTGCACTATCAGGCACTGGGGAAAAAATCTAAAATGTAATTTTATAAAAACAAATGCACTCTAAAAGTTCTTGACGAAAAGTTTCACATAATTGCAAGAAGATATTTAAATGCAAACACTAGACACAGGTTGACAGTTCTATACAACCTAACAGAGTGAGGTACATGGAAACCATAGCAACTAACGTAGAGGGTGAAAAGTCATCTCAAAGGAAAATACAAGCTATGATTCTGGAGTTTCAAATTGATATTTTTTTTTTTTTGGTTTTTCGAGACAGGGTTTCTCTGTGTAGCTTTGCACCTTTTCTGGAACTCACTTGGTAGCCCAGGCTGGCCTCGAACTCACAGAGATCCGCCTGGCTTTTTATTTTCACACAATGAGCACACTATTGAATCTCAATATAACTTGAGTCATTTTAACCTGAGAGAGAAGAATTCATGATCTTCTGTTTGTGCAAACACACACAAGGTAAAAGCAGAAAATTGGGCTCCCACTTAAACATCAACGGATAGAACCCATGTTTGAAGTTAAAATCAATGTTCTGGTTAAGTTTGCCACTCAAAGGGTCACTTCTTGGAAAAACAAAACAAAACAACAACCTCATATTTAAAAAAAGAGCACTTAATCAAGTACTTTGTTCTAGTACTTAATAATAAATTGACTGTAAGGATATCTTTTATTAAAAGACTTTGGACTGTACTAAGCTAAACACTGTTGCACAAAGGAGAAGCAAAAATTGTTCTGAAATGACTTTGACCTTCACTTTCAATACCCTTTCCAAAGATCAATAAGCTAGTTTGGCCCAAAACAGAATCAATGAGAAAGCAAGCAGCTGTCTTGATTGTTCCCAGGTTCTGGAGAGCATGCCTGAACCCGCCATCTCCTGTCATTGGTGACTACCCTAATTGTCATCAGAGAGCCTTCATCCAGTAACTGATGAAAGCAGATGCAGAGACCTACAGCCAAGCACTGGGTGGAAGACCAGGAGTCCTGATGAAGAAAGGGAGAAGGGATTATATGAGCCAGGTGGGTCAAGGTCACGACAGGGAACCCAGAGAGACAGCTGGCCTGAGCATATGGGAGCTCAGGGACTGGACCAACAGTTAGGGAGCCTGCATGGGAGTGATCTAGGCCCTCTGCGTGTGGGTGACAGTTGTGTAGCTTGGTCTATTTGTGGGACTCGCAGCAGTGGGATCAGGACCTGTCCCTGGCACTTTAACTGGCTTTTGGGAACCTTGATGAAGGGGGAGGAGTTTGGTCCTGCCTTAACTTGAAGGCCTGCCTCCATTTCTGAACCAAGATGGAGGAGGAGTGGATGGCAGGAGGGGAAAACAGAAGAAAGGGAATGGGAGGAGAGGAGGGAGGGGAAACTGTGGTCAGTATGTAAAATAAATGAAAAGTTTAATTAATTAAATAAATAAATTTTAAAAATGAAAAAGAAAAGAGAAACTATCTTGGATATGAGGCTAAGTAATATAACCTGAGAGTAAAAACACCTCCTAAGAATATAAGATATTCCTAAATAAAAGACCTGGTGCTCTGTATTCAATGGTCCCATTGTGTTGAAAGCAATGTAAAAAGTAGTTCTCATATGCATGGTATTGTAATTCTGGCAATGGAGAAAATTGACAGCACCGAAAGAATACTTTACCTACAATAACTGAAACTCCATGTGACATAAAAACCGTTACTAAATGAAACCGGAGAGCTATGGCAAGAAGATGGTTCAGCAAGAAAAGCATTCTCCACACAGGCCTGATAACTCACACTGGGGCCCTAGAACCCATGGAAAACAGTCATGTTGGTGTTACACATCCCAGCACTCCTACAGCAGCACGGGAGGTAGAGACACAAAATGTCATGGAATACCAAGGGCAGCTAGCAGGCTTACAAAGTATAGCACAAACAGCCAGGAAAGCCCTGCCTCTACAAGGCAGAAGCAAATCCAAGTCCTGACTCTGGTCCTCTGACCTCCACAAACTTGCTAGGACATACATATATCCATTCTCACTCATATGCATCCACGAATGTGTACACACACACACACACACACACACACACACACACACACACACGGGCGGGGGGGGGGGGGCAGCGGGTGAGGGAGGAAACTGGTACAACGTCAAACTTGCCTACAGAGTGAATGCAATGCCTTGGGACAACTGAGGGCTAAGAAGCGCCCCTGCATGAGGAGTTACACAAGGGCCATTGTACCAGGAGTCTAGGAGCACACTGAGTTCCTCCAGGGGCATCACAGGCTTAAGCGATCAGTGGTTCCTCTACTCAGGTGGCTGGTAAATTCATTCTCAGTGATAGGAAGGGAAAAATATCCACCACCACCCCAAGCAGAGAGGACAGAAGAAGAAAAATGATTCCTATTTTTTTGTTTGTTTGTTTGTTTTCGAGAGAGGGTTTCTCTGTGTAGTTTTGGTGCCTGTCCTGGATCTCACTCTGTAGACCAGGCTGGCCTCGAAATCACAGAGATTCTCCTGATTCTGCCTCCCGAGTGCTGGGATTAAAGGCGTGCGCCGCCGCCGCCGCCGCCGCCGCCGCCGCCGCCGCCGCCGCCACCACCACCACCACCTGGCAAAAAGTGGTTCTTTTTGCCATTCCTCTGAGCTATGAAGTGCAAAGGATGGCTATTCTATTTCCCCTTTGATGGGTGGGGGAAGTGGTCTGGTCTCGATGGGAGGTGGGGATGGAAACTGGAGGGATCTGGTGGCTGGGGGTGTGGGGGAATGGAGGGAGAGAGTACTTGGAGAAACAACTGGAATCAGGGGCATCTCGTACAATGGAAACTCCCAGGAATCTATGAGAATGACTCCATGTAAGACTCCTAGCAATGGGGGATACTGAGCCTGAACTAGCCCGCTCCTGTAGCCAGGCAAGACTTCCAGTGGAGGGATGGACAGCAACCCAGTCACAAAACCTTTGACCTACAATTTGTCCTGCCTTCAAGATGTGTTGGAGTAAAGGTGGTACAGAAATTGTGGGAGTGGCCAACCAATGATTGGTCCAGCTTGTGACCTATACCATGAGAGGGAGTTCACCCCTGACACTGCCTTGAGGACCAAGACCCAGAGGCAGGATAGCCCTAGGTTAGAACCAGACTGAAAAAAAAGTCAATGTAATGATTCCTAATGATATTTGGCTATGAGAAGTGCATTTTGTGTGTGTGTGTGTGTGTGTGTGTGTGTGTGTGTGTGTGTGTGTGTGTGTGTGTGTTTTAAGTGTTAGGGAAGAGGGAATAATGTAGTTTATTATGATTTCAAAACATATTTATACCCACAGTTATACTTATAATATGTTATTTGTGTGTGTGTGTGTGTGTGTGTGTGTGTGTGTATTCCTAAATAAAAAATACATACAGCTCAGTCCATATAATGTGACGTACATGTATATGAACTCAGGGCAGCCCTAACCATATTGTAAACATTTATCCTTATATCCACAGATAAGTGTTCTACTTACCCCTCATAAAGGAAACATTTTTTTGCAACAGATGGGTACATTTTGAAAGGAGGTATTTATCAGAAGGGAGTGCTCATGGTTGCAACAGCAATGGTTTAAAAGTTCCTTCACACAGCAGTAACAATTACGACTATTCAAGAAAGCAGTTCAACAATGCAAGCAAAGTATCTGAACATTATTGCATTTTATGGTCCTATTATAAGATTTTTCTCCCCGAAGAAAGGAATTTAATCTTTTATTATTGATATTCTAAATATAATAGACACAAAATTCCTACTTACAAACATAGTAGAATAATAAAATTCAGAAACGCCTGAAAGCATGGATTTCCCTTGTAGTGGGTAGCCATTCCAACCTTGATCTGGAAGTTCCAACCCCCATTGAGGCTTCGGTAACTGTCACGCCCACAAGGCGGGGCCAAGAGAGGACCTTGAAGACTCAGACCCGAGATCTGGATGTACTGTCTCTCTTGGTTCCTGGACCCTGGAAGCTGGACGTAGACCGAGCAGAGTTGTCCAGAGAACACCACTGGACTGCGCTGCGTCTTTCCCAGACCCTGCAACCTACCTATCCCTTCATTTGTAAGTTACGCCACTAAATAAACCTCCCTTTTAACTACGTGGAGTGTCCTTAATAATTTCACCAATATTCCCTCAGTGTTTTTCAGTTATAGGTGTTTATTTGTAGTTAAGGCATTAACTACAAATAAGCAAACCTGATGCAAATAAGAAAACCTGATGCAAGAATGTAAAACTTTGATAAAATATTGTAATTTAATACATAGATATCAGTAGCAATACATACCAATTACAACTCTATCTTCCCTTCCTAAGAATTCTAAATTCTTTAGTTCCGTCCCAACCCAATCTGCTGCAGTGACAACAATCCTCAGCAACCACCTTAACTGCTTCTGTCATTCTCTGTATCTGAGTAAAGGTTTAAATTGGCTGAGAACATGAGCCCCAAGGATTCTCAGCTACTGGATTTGCTTTTCTTTCATAATCCCGACAGCACTAGGGTCTAAGACCTGGGAAGCTATATTTATGCCTCCTCTCTTCTGTATACAGTCATTTTCTATTTTCTTCTTCCTGAAGGATCACAGATCCTTTACAATCCTACTCCATCAGATATTGCTTCATTCCTAAATCACATTGCTTAAATAGGCTGCATTGTTTTCCTTAACCACTTCTCCAAAAATCTTAAGGACCGTTACCACCCAAGGAAACTAGCTTTTTTCTACCACCTTTAGATTGTCAACAACCACACAAATGATGCAAGTAATCCCTTGAACCCTGTATCCCTTGATCTCTTTAACTCTAATAATATTTTCTTCCACTTCATCTTAAACCTGGCTTTCATAGCAACACCTGAGACTTTGTGATTACCAATGTTAGTCAGTCTTCCTCCATTTATCTACCACCTCC